CTTTCCAGGCTCTGAAGAAGGCGAAATCCGCCGAAACGTCAGCTTAATCGTGAACAAAGAATAGTAACACCTCGCATTTGTTCAACAAAAATACGATGAAGATCTCATTCCTGCCAACCAGTAAAATCTAATGTTTTGCTGGTAATGCGTCCTGTGGCAATTCGATCAATGCGGCTATCAAAATAACGAAGAGGTGGAGCCAAGTAAACATTTTACAGCAGCCTTGTATCAGCTCAATAATCCAAGGATGCATTGACTATTTACGCCGAGGTTAAACAAGAGTCTGTTTTCACAGACACACTTGATGCACGAGGAGACTAATCCAAGTCAAATATGCACTTAATCACCTCTACGATGTGTCGACTAGAGTTGAAGAGCGCATCCTTGAGAGATCGATCAAGAGTGAATTATACATCATGTGTATATATGTATATACATATATTTTTGCATTTTACATCTCTCGTCGTCACATCTTCTATGCGGATCCCGGCATTTTTTTTTGATTTGATTCGTTTTCCTCGTTTCCATCACCCACAATGGTCTTCGAAGATTTCGCGTATTGTTTCAACTGCCGCTTGAGGATTTCGCCTTCTTTATGGATGTCGCAGAATGCTGCTCGACCCAAATCTTCTCATAATCTTAGAGATACCCGGATTAACGCGTTCCCATGTGGAATGGAGAACAGAGTTGGGTCAGGGATCGAACTAGCGCCTTTTTCTTCCTGATCGACGACATCAGTAACTACTGTGCTATCCCCGGCCTTTGTACATATATATATATATATTTATATAATATATATATATATTTATATACATATATATACATATGCACATTTACGACGGTGAAAGGATAAGAGGAGCCTTTAACGCTGATCAATGCTTGAGGAATGGGTAATACATTCGACTTCGTCAAGGACCGTAGCGGTGATTGGATGCACATCTTGCCTACTGAATGACTTGCCGTGACCTACCTATGTATCAAGTCAGCGCTGATGTACTCCGAGATAAGTACATGGCAATTTTCCGACCCGGAGGAATGGAAAGCTAAGTGAGCACGAGGAGAGGAATCGAACAGATGACCACCTGTATATTGCAAAGGACCTCTAACCATTGCGCTACACACGCTTTACTTACTGCCATCTACGGTGATATTCCAAATAATATCTTGTGTATGGAATATTTCTTTTCTCCTTTATTTTTTTTGTGGTGGTGCATGGAGAATCTCTAGTGATGTTTTTTTGATAGGTGCTAATAATTCGGCCTCGGTGGTGAAGTGGGTAACACGTGAGCCTCCGGAAAGGATAATCGACGGTTCGAATCTGGTCAGGAATCCGAGTTTCGCAAACATGTCAGCATCATTGTGGTTGTTTTTCATCATAATACCCTGCCTTGAAGTAATTATAGACAGTCGATGAAAAGTTAAACATTGCCAATAATTGCTGCTAAATGACAAGTACGTAAGGACTTCGAAACGTCGTTGATACGTAGGAGAAACTTTATAACATAACTTTGGCCTCTCTATTGAAATGCAGTTATTCCTTTCCTAAAATTTTATCTCGCTTTAAATGTGCTTAAAATTAATTTTTTCCAAGGAAATTGAAGATAAACTCAGACAACAAAATATTCAAAGCATGATGGGCAGCTGTGGCACCAATAACGGATTCAGGGATATCAACCAGAAGTCCAAATGAACGAAATCCTACTTGTTTACTTGCCTTTGTGGTCGAAACACCACTGTGATGAAAAATAACAGGCGAAAATAACTTGGGTGTTTCGAAAATAGCATTTTCCTCGTGATGGTGAGCACTTGCAGTTTTTACAGAGTTTAAGATCTTAAAACCTGTTATTTCAATTGATAAAGCTCATTAAGAGCTTAGAAATATTAGCTTGAACCATAGACTCTGACATAAATTCACTTCCACTCATGCCGGTCAGACTGCACTTGTGAAATTTGAACTTGGGACTGCATGTGCTGATGCTGAATGGTTAAAATAATTTCGGCAACTCGAGAGGCATGCGTACCTCATAGCATTGCAAATTTGTTAAATAAGGGAAAAAGGCTTTAACAATGTGAGATTTCCAAAGTTATTGCAACGCATTAATGGAGGCAATCGTGACTTTCTCCTGGCAGAAGTGCTTCTAGATTCCATTTTCCGATATCCATCACCTTTGGCGGCTCGTTATCTGAACAAAAACGATAACTACTGTAACAACTGACACAAGATTATGCGAAAAAAAAGAAAAGAGATAAAAACTGAGATTATCTGAAACGCAGATTCACGGTGGAGAGACCTTGGCAAGTACACCTTGACATCTTCAACACGGGTCATCGGAAATGGTTCTGATTCCATGTTTTTCTTCAATAAGCAGACACGAGGTTGTTATTATAGGATTTATTAGGATGCAATAGCTGACGTTTCTGGGGTTTCGCCTTCTTCAGAGCCGTTTATTTGTTGTAAGTATTTAAGTTAGTTGATGGATAGCAGCCGCAGAGTAATACATGGGCGTTCTGATTCCATTTTTTGAGTTGGTGAAAACTCCTTTTCTGTCAAAGAGCTCGTAGACTCGCTATGTTCGAGTTACTGAATATGTCCAGAGGATAGTTTTACCTCAAGGTATGCACGAACTAAAGTGAAGCGATGAACAATAAAATCCACAACAATTGCGGAGCGATCACCTACTAAGATTGCCTCCTGTTTGACAACCGCGTATGCGTTGACTTCTTAATGGCACCGAATGTTTAAATTTGAGAAAAAACACGTTAATAAGCCCCAGTCCTTCCTTGCACGGAAAATTGCTAAAAGACTTCGCTAAAAAGGCTTCCTCCATTTCATAAAGGACAGTGACCGACGTGATGAAGAGATGAGAACGCTCCACTACAGCTATTCTAGCATTCTAGAGACAGTTATATTGAGCAGCATTCAACGATAGTCATGAATTTAACAAAGTTCTCAAGTACGATCCGAACCAACACGCAAATCTGAAGACTTTCAAGGGTGACGGATACAAGCAAACAAATCGAATAGAATGCTATGATATACGCAAAGCATGCAGCTAGATGATATAAAAAATAATATGGATAAAAGCACATTTGTGTCGGATAGTCACCTCTAGTTATATAATGATTCGGCAACTCGAATTTCCAGCGTCGTTGGCACGGCTGAAAGTCAACAGCTTCATTGCACTGACTTTTTCAAACGAATCAATGGTTTTATGAGTTTTTCACTACAGGATTGAATTCGTCGACAGCAGTAGGACTGAAGGCTTTGGTGGTAGCCATAGAACAAACCAGATCGTTTATTCACTGTTTATTCACTAAGTGTGTTTTATTACGCAACGCTTTATAAAAGTACCCTACTGCTTCTTCTTATAACGTAAAATATTTTTTCGCTACTCTCCTGTAAACATGTACTAGAAGGTCCCAAACTAGTTTATTTCCGAGTAAATGCTAGAATTTTATAAGAACTCCTAGTGTTACAAGCGGGAGCTTTTTATTAGAGAACAGAGCGCCCACCGTGCTACCGTCATTACAGTCATGGTAGAAGATTAAATGTGGATCGATGGTTGTTCGTTCCGCCGTGGAACCGGCTAATTCAAAGAATCCGTCTCGGTCGGTGAAGCCAGTCTCTAGCACATCGTCTGGATCCGGCCCTGTAAACGGAAATATGTCCGTACTTACTAGGGCTCCTTCAAGTATTTCCTGAGAGTGTGATAAATGCTTGTATCTGCTTGACCATTTATATCCCTTGCCCTTCGAGTACAATGTAAAAACGCTCCTAACTATGAAAGGCTTGGCCGATCCCTATTAGAATAGATTTCGTGAGCTTAACATTAGTACATATGACAATGTCTAGCGCGAACTCCTTTTTTTCAGCGGAAGATCAGACTTATGAATCTGTCTTGTGTTTTCTTTTGCAAAAAGTACTCAAATGCTCTTTCATAAATACAAGCAACGCAAAAATTAGCTATCGGGGCTGCTAAACTCGTAAAGACAACTCACCAAAATCATCGTCCACAAGTTTCACATGTACGTCCTTCGCAGGTGTTTTTCCACATAATAATCTGCCACGAACCTAATGTTTCAAATTTTATTCATTCATTTAATTTTCATAAAGTTCTGTTAAATGTCGCATCCCTACAGTATGTTGTACGTTTTTGCATAACTTTATGTCTTTTGGCTCTCAGTATACATGCATTTACCTAAAAAACCGAAAAAATAGAGACGACTATAAGTTGGTGTGGAAAACTGGAGGGCTTACACTAGGAAGTCAAAGATTTAATGGCGCCTTCCTGGAATTTTGAACACGTTATGGTTTCCTCCTGCACAGTGGTCTCCAAGTTTTTCTCTAAGAAGCTTCTTCAGTGGGCAAGTTTTCAACCTTGGAGTGTAACTTTAAGACTTAATAACTTGAATGGAGCCAAAAGACATAAAGTTATACTGGGAGCGTTTGTAGGGCAGTGCTCAAGGCGACTTCAAATATACATGTTGTGATTCGTTCGATCGTGGTGCGCTGAGCCAACGGAGCCTCTCTTCCCTCCAGATTCGGTGGATGAATATTAGACTTATCTGGGAAAATAATGCAAAACATCAACAGGTCACCGCAAGTAAATATAGGCCAAAAATGCACTTGATCAGCTCTAATATGCTACGAATAGAAACGAATGCATTTTGACCAACACCGAATTCTTCACGTTTTAAATCTTGTAAGACCGTACTATAGAAACTGTATGCTTCACTAAACAAAGTTATCGAGAAACTGATGGAGCCAGACATCGAAGTCGAAGGACGGGATTGAAGAGACATCACTGGGGTAGAGTATCTTTGGAGATTTAACACCAGATGGTGGAAGGAAAAAATCAGCAGTAAAATTATCCCTCTCTCAGAGAATCTTCTTGCAAGGTTTTTCAAATGACGTATGCAAAAGAATCTATACAACGCGTTTGAGTCATACTGCTCAAATTGCCGTCATCGCGTCCCAGTGCTGTGACTTCCAATTCAATCATCTCCATTTAGGTTCTCGATAAAAGGGTAAAGGATAAAGCTCTTAGCGTTGATCAATCTCTGAGGGATGAACCATGCATTCGACTTCATTAAATATCGTTGGCGGTGATTGAATGCATATCTGCTCTTTACAGTGACTCGCGGTGGCCTACCGATGTATCGAACCAGTGCTGTTATCCTCCCAGACAAGTCTGGTACCAATTTTCCGACCCTGGCGAGATGGAAAGCTTGGTGGGCCATGGGCATAGGAATCGATTCCACGTTTGTCGCAGTAGCGCCTGCAACCACTGCGCCACATGCGCCCAAGGTTTTGATAAGGAATAAAAAACAAACATTTGACTGGCAGTTCGTACGAAATCTTGATCTCATAATCATATTCACCACCATTCTCTACGAGAAAAGATTGCGAAAAACATAGATAAACGAATTAAATGTACAAATGAACAAACGATAACACTGTGCGTACCTTGTAATTTTGTGTTCCAGGATGCTGCTGTGGAACACCAGCGGCCCAGACGACGAAAACAATCAGAATGAATAGTGATTTTAAAAACATCTTTTTATCTAAGATTATTAAGAGATTTCAAATTCAGAGTCAAATAAGCAGAGAGAAAAGCGTTAACTAATTGTCATTCTCTCTGCGTCTTCGTGCTCATAGCATCGCCCAAGGTTGTGAGTCATTTTCAGGGGCTAAACAGTATAAAATGGAAATCGCGTGTGATTTACCATTGGAGTTAGCAAACAAGCACATTGCGACTTTCATGTTCTATTTAATATGAAATACTTTAAATACAACAGCACATAAATTTTTTAATGACGACAGTCTTGGCTTTCGCTCTCCAATTCGACCTGAAATTTTGCATGGTCTTTCACGTGAACGCAAAAGGCAGGTAATGTCTTTATTGTTTGTAACAAATGTCTGTCCACCACCTCACGTGATTCACTGTATTGCTGATGAGCAAACACTAGGCTGTAACTTCACTGGTATTTGACGAAAAGCTAACCTTTTGGCGGAATTCGCTCCTTCAGAGCTTGGAAAGGTCAATGCTTAAATTTAGGAACGGCTTATTTGATCTCCTGTGAAGAGTGCTTGGACTACATTGGCGAAAGAGCTAGACCACTGTGAATCCATATAAAATAATACCTAGACGGAAAACTTAAACTTGAACCGAACACTCCATCAGTAGCGCTGCCACACCGAGAAATAACGATAAAGATTTCGAGGCAAAAGTTACTATGCTCTCACAGTAATTGAGATCTTCATTGAGCAAAACTGTGGAGGCATTCTGGATAAATTCTAGGAAGCCAAAAATGGAAAGCGAAGCCTTGTGTGCTTGGTCTCCACGTGAAATACTCCGTGAAAGACTCATAGAAAGCGATGAGTGTGCGACGAAGCTTTTTTGCTCAATATGATTGAAATCTTGGTTTCGCATCTTTTCCCTGTTTGGTTGTGGAGGTGTTTGGCTGGGTAGATTGCAGTTAACTTGACCTTTCAACACTTTGAAAAAAGCGAAATCCGCTGAAACATCAACTTTTTCTTGAATGAAGATAAAGTTACAACCTTGTGCTTGCATTCAACAAGAATGCAGTGAATTATTTGATCAATGCTGACGTTAACAGAAAGCGATTTTGGCAATTGCTAACCTCAAGGTTCAATGTTCCTAAGTTCATTGTTTCTTGTGGTTCAGCTCCTGAATAGATGTAATTGCTGGGGATTCTGATCGTCCACTGACGCTGACATGGCTGGAATGATAAATATTGAAGAAATAGTGATATACTGCCGTTGATATACGCTTGGCAGTAGTCGTTGTTTTTAATTTTTTTGTTGTTAGAAAAGCTTTCTAAGACAAGAACAACGGAAGAGATCATACAGTAGTTGGTTCAACAGGGTTGATACTAGTTTCATTCTAGCCTTTACCTTTCCATGATCGTTGCAGTCGTGGTAAATTCGCAGCTCGGGATCGATTGGTGACAATTCGGATGCTGAGCCGCTAAGATTGAAAACGCCATCGGCTTTCGTGAACATTTGATCTAATACGTCATCTGGGTCACCTGTAAATAACAGTAGGCAAATCAGTAGTTTTTCAAGATGTCTTTCCAATTTTTATTCCTTATAGTTTTACCGAATCTAAACTTATTATCATTATTTCGCTCTGCTGATAGGCTTACACGAGGTTATTTTAAAAACCTATCGTGGTTAAAAATCTCAACACTTTCTTTTTTTCAGAGATGCAATGATTCGAGTGAAGTGTCATCAATAGCTATTTTCTGCAATACAGGATTCGTAGTTCTATTGAGACTCCAGATTTCAACGGAGTGAGGCACGGCACGAATCAGCGATTTCACAACAACCTCATTCAAGCTCATCATCACAGCCAAATAATAAATTTTCACACAGGAAAACCTATCTTCAGAACAATCTGCGGTTATAATTATTCAACGGATCTCCGTAATTGATGAATAACTAGCCATATAGACGCGATTTCAAGTAGCTCGTCCCCAGTTATCGATGTGGTTGAGTACAGACTAAAAGGGTGTATATATTTTCTAGGATTGGTGTAGCACAGGAGTTACAGGTGCGCTGTAATAACATAATAACGCTGTAATAAACATGGTCCTTCCTTCGGCACTTCGCCTTGGGCTCAACAAGCCTTCCATCCATCCGAGGTCGAAAGATTGGTAGAGACTTATCTGGAAGCACAGATCTGATATATCGGTGATCTACCGCAAGTCTTTTCACAAGAGAAATGTGCATTGATACCCGATAGAATTGAATGCATGGTGCATCCCCAGGAATTGATCAATGTCGGCCCCTTGTTGTTCATTCCTGTGTACTTGTCGTGTGATGCAGTTGGATTTAGGCGTGGGTCTCGTGTTTTCACTGCACAGGAATGAAAGAAATCTTTCCTGCGTATGTGATTATATTAATGCGTACGTATGTGGATATATTGTGTGCTCACAGATTGTTTTAGTGTACCTCGGTTTGGAAAAAACCAACAATCAACTGCATGGAATGCGCCTGGGAAATGGTTCGGGGCCGCTTCATATAAATAAGCTCTGCACCATCTCTAGGAGAATACTCTCAATCACTTATGAGTAGATCCGCTCCTATAGGATTTAGATTTTCTCAGAAAAAGTAGTAGCAAAAAAACATTCTGAGAAAATTCAGACGCAACAACATTAAGCAGGACTGGTTCGTAGGGACTACCGAATTCTCTGGGCTAAGCAGCCAAAATCCAATAGCATTATTGTAGGCTGCTCAGAAATAAATAAGCATTCTTAACTACATTATTAACATTAACTACATTAACTTGCTTCAAACAAGAGTTTATTAATCCAATAAGAACAGTTTGAATTTACACATTATTGCCAATGAGAGACAAGTTTATTTATCCCAGTTAAATTCTGGAATTCTGGAAGCGATGAATTCGCTGAGGGAACTTTTTGTGTCATCGTTGTTGGTGAAGCATTTCTCGCCTAAGGAGTTAACAAGCAGCTAGAAGAAGTGATAGTTGACATACCAAAGGCGTGGTGAACATGGTGAATGAGGTGAAATTTCGTAGCTCAACTCGTTTAACTTCTGCAGCGCTCGTTCCCCAACGTGAGTCCCGGCGTTGTCGTGGAGAAGGTTTGATCCTTTTCTGGTAATTAATGCCAGTCGTTGTTGTTGGAGCTTACGGTGCATTTCGCCGATTTATTGGCAACACTGCTCTGCCGTGATCGTTTCGCCCAGGTCCAAAAAGGTGTGAAGAATCAGCCCGAATTCGGACCACCAAACAGTTACCATGACCTTTTTTGGTGCAATTCAGGCTTTGAGAAGCTTTGTGGAGCCTGATCGCAATCCAGCCATTGAGCTGAACGTCGTGTAGAATCCAGTTCTCGTCGTACGTCGCAATCCAATTAACCACGATTAAGAAAAGGGTCGTTTTTGTTGCGCAGAACAAGAGCAGACATCGCTTCAAAACGGCAATTTTTCTGACTATCGTTTAATTTGTACCGGAACCCACTTGCCGAATTCTCTCTTTCCTATGCAATTTAAGTAGATGGAAATTGTTCCTGTGCTTATGCCAAGCCGTTCAGCAAGCTCTAGAACAGTTGCTCGCATGTTTACTTCCACTGGTGCTTCAATTCGCGTCGTCAAGTTCATTGGGATGTCCGCGAGGTTCTTTACATTCGAGGTCGAAATCACCAGATCGGAATTTCCGGAACCAATTCGTCATCATTTAAGGTTAGACCGATCATCAGCTGTGTAGACGGGCCAACGGACAGAATAACCTAGTTTTTAAGCCTGATACTTACCCAGTTACTTAACCATATTCCAGCTCTCCATACAAACTCCCAAATGTTCCTAGAACGTCTAGCAATGCGTCTCCTAATAACGCGTACGTGATGGAGTCTTTCGACGTTACCGCACTGTACACCAACGTATCGAATGACTCCGCAAT